CGTGATGATGGCTACGAACATCACTAGGCAATAGGAACCTTTCAGCTCCACAACAATCTTATGGGACCGCCATTGTACATGCTGTCATTGGTCAAAGTGTCTCTTTGCAGTGCATGACTGTGAAAGGGTATTTCTCTTTCATGGAACAGTCCCAAAGGAAGAGGTTCAAAGCAAATGAGGTAGATTGGCCATCTGTACCATATGGTTTCCAATCCTGGGCCAAAGTGGACTATAGTTCTTCTATCCCATCCTTATAAACAGCCAGCTGGTATCAAGGGAGAGTATGCTCACCACTTTTTTTTAGATCCTCATCCATGGATATGTTTTATTGATTTTTAGGGAGAGAGAGAAAGAAACACTGATGTAAGAGGGCAACATCGATCAGTTACCCCCACCTGGGTGTCGAACCCACAACCTTTTGGTGTACAGGATAACACTCCAACCAACTGAGCCATCCAGCCAGGGCTATGCTCATCACTTTAAACAGAATGACAGAAAAGCGCTGCTCTTGCTTCTGTTCATACCACAGTGGCCATCAAGCTGCAAGGGAGTCTGGTAAACGTAGGCCCTGAAAGATAGCCATGGGCCTGATTCGAGCTAATGTTGGGATTTTTATTACTAAGGCGAGAATGAACACTGATGAAGAGTGGTTGGCCATACTATGGGGAAATGTAGGCTGAGTACACACTTCTTAGGGGTTTTTTCAATAGTTAAAGGATAGTCTTGTAAGTTTTCTCCATCATCAAGCCCTTTCATTGTGGGATAGCTTGGATCCTAGCTTGTATATTCATTGCCGGGAGCACCCCAAACTCTGCTCTGTACAGGCCTGAGTCCTGGCTGGCCCTCGCCATTTGTCCCAGGGACAAGAACTCTCCCCAAATCCTGGTCCCCACAGCTGGGTTCCAAACAGCTATTTTCAAAACCTGCAGAGGCATTATAACATTAGGGGTGAGCGCTCCAGCTCAGCAGCCAGAGATCATCCTCTGTCTGTGTGACTTTCAGGAAATTACTAAATTCTCAGTGCCCTCACCCATAAAGAATGACAGTAACATTCACGATAAGGCTGTTGTATCAGGTCATTTTAATTCTCACCTCCACAGACATTGGCGCTGGGCCCCGCACACCACGGCCCACGGTAATGTCCGTTCTCGCTGACTTCCCGTTACCCACCTCCGACGGCAGGTGTGGCCTGGACCTCTCTGCTGTCTTACTTCCAACCCCTTTACCTCCCTGCTGCTCCCCTGGGACAGGCAGATCCTGTTGGGGAAGTTCCCCGAGGCTCTGGCACACTCCCCTCTTCCAAAAATTTCAAGACGGTATGTTCCCCACTGAGATAAAGTTTTTAATGCATCTCGGTGAAAGTTTCTGTCTCCCAGAACAGAAAAAGAAAGGACAACAGGCTTTTTCCTGGGTGGGCAGTGAGAGCAATCAACAGAATTAAAGTTACGAGGGAGCCTCCATGGACATGTTATCCAGGTCGCTGCTGTAGGTAATGAGGTTTGATCTCACGAGGACCTCTGGGCGGCATACGAGGCATCCCTGTTGCCCATTTGAAGGCCAGGAGGCTGGAGAGTGTACCTATTGGCTCCGGGTCTCGTTAGTTGAGGGTTGCCTCCTGTGGCTTGCACTTCCCCCTCTTCCAAGCTGAACTTGACCAGGCTAGGAAGGTCACGACCCCTCCCCTACATCAGGGATGGAGCAGAGTGTGGGTGGAGCCCTGAGCTCAGGGACCTGGCAGAGAAGGTGGACACTGAGCCCAGAGGGAACTGTCCTGCAGCAGGCAGCTGAAAACAGAGGTGGAAGCGGGGAACGCAGGCAGCAGAGGCCGCGCCTCCAGAGAAACAATTAAGATCATGACAAAGTCTAATTGTTTCTAATTGGACCTCTGGGCAATGCTGCCCCCTTTTGTTGGCCTCGGACGTGACCTCCAAAGACGTGGCATTCTGCAAGTCTTGAGAGTGAGGGAAGGGTGATGAGCCCACCCGGACAGGGTGAGTGAAGGAGGAGGAATGAACGGCTGCGTGAAGTTTGAGGACAGCTATGAAAAATGGTTCCCACTTGAAATGGGTCTTGAAAGATTCAAGAAGTACGCCAGGGAAGAGCTTTGGAGCAGAGAGAATGTCCAGGTGGAGCATCGCTTAGGAATCTCCATGTTGCAGCTTATTGTAAAAGATGCAACCTGGACACCCCCACATGTGCCAACAACATACGGTAACCACTGACGAGACCGTTCTGCCTTGCCATTGTTCTTCATAAAGCCAATTCATTCCATTAAAATTCGTCCTGCACCTGTGCAGCTCCCCCAGGCGAGTGGGAGTAATGTTTAGAGAGGATCAAACCAACACTCAGTAGCAAGGAGGGGGTTCTGAGACACGGGTGTGAAGGGCCCGGCCCCACCTGCTCTCTGCACAGGACGCACAGAACAAAAAGGTGGGAGCAGAGAAAGATGTCCCGGCTCAGCACGTTCCAACCACAGAGCAGGGAAGACACCCGATTGGCTCTGTGGTCTGGGTAAGACCTGCGCACTGAAACCACAGACCAAGACCCCATAAAGACACCGCTGGCGATGACCCAGCAGGTGAGGAGGCAGAAGAAGCCTCGAAAGGATTAAGACTGTGTTTTATTTCCTAGAAGGCAGCCGGTTTAGCATCAGAAGTTGCTCTGTTGCAAATGAACAGAAGCTGCATTTCTCCCGCCCTTCAGTGTACAGACCGAGCTCCCCACCCGGGCACAGTTTTTATGTCCATGGACCCTCACAAATGGTGAGACTCATCACAGACACTGGGGGTGCCCGAGGCTCTCCCCCCAACATTCTCTCCTGAGTTCCACATCTTCTGAATTCTTGTCAGTCGAACTGGAGAAACGGTACCGAAGTCTCGGTCTGACTTTCCCTTCCCCGACTCCCCTGGAGGCTGAACATTTTTTCATGCTTATTAGCCATTCGCGTTTCCTGCTCAGTGGACTCCCAGTTCCATCTGTTGACCAATTATCCAAGAGGCAATCCATCTCTGTCTTATTAACGTGACAGTGCTGGTTCTCTACGAGGGGCAGTAAATTTGCCCGTGGCAAATGCTTCTTCCTGCCTGTCTTTGACTGGGCTTACAGTACCTCATCTGCACCAAATTTGGGGTGACCCATCTTACTAAGATCTCTCCACTCCAGTGTTTTATAAACAGGCTAAATGTCCGTCTATTTCCATGTGCACACATCCTCTGTCTCACACTCACACTGACATACAGAGCTAGGTGATAATTAGCCGGCTCCTTAGCCCTTCTGGAGTGTGTGGGTGTGTCTGTGTGTACGCGTGGAGGTGCAAGGGGACCCAGTCCTTCCAGGCTCTGTGTGACCCTGTGTGCGGCATAAAACCTGCCACGTTCCCGCCAACAGCTGAAATCTGCCTTTCACATTTTCCAGCTCGAAGATCACCATCCGGCCTGGCACTTGAGAAGCAGGTGGGGGCATCTCCCCGAGTTCCCTTGGCCACAGTCTCAGACACAACTACTCTCGAGTCTCCGAGCTGCCACCTCCCACACTCTCTGTCCACCCCTCTCGGGCCCCGCAGCCACCTCCTTGCTTCAGGGCACCGTCATCTCGCTCTGGGTCTGTGCAGCCCTGGCCTCCAGGCTCCTCCCCTTCCAATCCAGTCCCCACCTGGAACCAGCAGTCTCTCCAAAGCAGATGCACCTCAGCCCCGCCCTGCCCAAAGCCCTTTGGCCCACGGCCCCCCACCACTTTCAGGACACGGTCTGAACTCCCAAAGAGAGCTGACACCATCCTTTTTTTTTAGAAGGCACTTCTCACCTTAAGAAAAGAAAAAGAAAAAGAAACACCTTTGCAGCCCGGTTTCTCAAAGTGTGTCTCCCAGCTCCATGTTGCAGCCGGACCAAACCACTTCAGTTTCTTCAAAAACACCAAGTGTCCTTTTCAACAGCTCCCAACCCTGGCTACGCCGCTGCGCACCTGGCAAACCTGAACACACACTCGCCCAGGTCCTCGCCCTCCGTGACTCGTATCCTGGAGGCCGGGCGGGACCCCTGCACCCCCCTCCAAGGGACGGCTCCCACGGGCAACATTAGAAACCACCGCCTTCTTCCTCCCACCCCCTTCTTCCTCAGAGTCAAACCTTCTATGCTCCTCCCCCAGGGACTTCCCCTGACCATTCAAGCTGGCCCCCCGGCTTCATCCCCCTGGCCTTCCATCCAAGCATGTACCCACTGAAATACAATTCTCTGATTCCTTGTCTCCCGCCCCAGACTCTGAGCCTAGGGGACACAGGGTGGCATGTCTGTCTTGCTCACCACAGTATAAAGCACACAGCATAGACTTAACACATAGTAGGTTCTCAGGAATGTTTACTTGACAATGAAGGAAGGAAGGAGTAAATGGATGGACAAGATGCCCAACTGCAGTTTCCAGGACCAACTGCTGGGAAGAGCCCGCAAACAGAAGTGCAGTCTGGCCAGCAGGGGGCACCAGCCTGCTTTTCAATCCCGCTGCCTGAGCCTGGCGCTGGTACCTGCTGTCAGTCAGACGGGGCTTGGGGTGGGCAAGCAGCGATCCCTCCGCTGAGCTGAAGATGAAGTAAGAGTTGTTCGCCTCCAGCCAGTGTCGGAACACTGAGTGTTCTCCCCTCACTTCCACCAAGAGGTACTACATCCTCCGTCTTGCTGTGAAAAGAGCCGTAACTGTAGCAACCAGTGGCCAGTTCCCTGTGCCCAAGTGGGGATGGGAGAGGGGGCAACAGGGAAGGGGCCGAAGACAGCAGGGAAGAGTAAGTACAAAAGGGCTGGCCTTGGACAGGCCGGGCCACGTCCTCTGTGTGTCTCCCAGCTGACTCTCTCTCTGTCTGTCTGTGTGTCTCTCCCCATCTTTCATTCTGGGAGGTATCCGTACCCAAGTCTGTACTGGACAAGCATCCACAGCAGGTCTCTGGAGGGAATCCTCTCCTTTCCTGAGAGCAGCAGCAGCAGCAGCAGCACCCCGTGGCCCTGCAGGCGGCCCACCTGTCAGCCATGAACGCCTCGTGCTGCCCACTGACTGCCCAGCCCACGCTGCCTCATGGCTCAGAGCACCCCCCGGCCCCCGCCCAGGGCAACTACAGCAACGACGGGCTCTGCAAGCAGGTCTTCATCCAGCCCGAGGTCTTCCTGGTGCTGGGCATCGTCAGCCTGCTGGAGAACGTCCTGGTCATCCTGGCCGTGGTCCGCAACAGCAACCTGCACTCGCCCATGTACCTGCTCCTGTGCAGCCTGGCCGCGGCCGACATGCTGGTGAGCCTGTCCAACGCGCTGGAGACCATCATGATCGCCGTGGTCAACAGCGACGCCCTGGCCTTTGAGGACCGGTTCCTGCAGCACATGGACAACGTCTTCGACTCCGTGATCTGCATCTCCCTGGTGGCCTCCATCTGCAACCTCCTGGCCATCGCCGTGGACAGGTACGTCACCATCTTCTACGCCCTCCGCTACCACAGCATCGTGACGGTGGGGAAGGTGCGCGCCCTGATCGTGGCCATCTGGGCGGGCTGTGGCGTCTGCGGCGTGCTCTTCATCGTCTACTCCGAGAGCAAGACGGTCATCGTGTGCCTCGTCACGCTGTTCTTCGCCATGCTGCTGCTCATGGCCACCCTCTACCTGCACATGCTCCTGTCCGCCCGGCTGCATGTGCAGCGCATTGCCGCCCCGCCGCCACGCTCCTGCCTCAAGGGCGCCGTCACTGTCACCATCCTGCTGGGCGTCTTTGTGGTCTGCTGGGCACCCTTCTTTGTCCACCTGGTGCTCATCATCACCTGCCCCACCGACCCCTACTGCGTCTGCTACACCGCCCACTTCGACACCTACCTGGTGCTGGTCATGTGCAACTCTGTCCTCGACCCCCTCATCTACGCCTTCCGCAGCCCGGAGCTCAGGAACACCTTCAGGGAGATTCTGTGCGGCTGCCGGGGGCTGTGAACTTGGGGTAGGAGCTGGGGGCGCGGCCGGGGAAATGGGTCTGGTCATGTGGGACCCTCCCTCCAGCCAAGGTGTTTAGAAAGGAAAGGGGGGGAAATACCACGTGCCAGCCCGGGTCCAGCCTTTTCATTCTGAGCTCACAGAGCCTCTGAAAGGGAGGTGGTATGTGGCGGGCTCCCTGGAAGGGTCCCAGGGCGGGTAAGTCACAAACTCCGATTTCCCCCCAGCCCCCTGGGGGAGTCGGGGGAGGCTGCTGTGAGCGCAAGTGGCACTCACTCCTAGGCGCCCAGGGTTTGCCAACCTACCACATCTTCATGCTCCCGCTGGGACCAGACGCAAGGATTCTCACTGAGGGGAGGGTGATTCAAAGCTCTCCCAAGCAAAGCGTGTATGGCCCTCGACCTCCAGCTCCCAGCTGCTCGGATAGCTTTGCCCCTACTTCGTAGGAGCCTTGAGTTTCTGCTCTATTATCCTATTTACAGTAAAGTGGTGTCCCCCACACAATGAACTCCTTGTTAAAAAAGCTACGCTGTGCTGTCGGTAGCTCTGTGTACCCCCACGCCCCTCACCAGCCTCCCCCTGAAAAACCGCAGTGTGCATGGGAGGGGCTGTGTCCCGAGAGGCTGCTTCACTGTAGGTGCAGGTCCTTGGAGAAATCGTGGGGGTGCATGTGACTTTCTCAGAAGCTCTGCTTCTGCTCATTACAACTGTGTCTCTGTCCCACAATTTCCTAAATCATTATCTAAAAAAGAAAGTTCGGGGGTTCACCGCTCCTTTGTCCCAACGTGGTGTTAAAGCTGAGGTGATCCTGGTATCAATGTCTACACCTTATCAAGGACAGCAGTTGGTCCCCGTGCGCACAGGGCATGACTGGCTGGCTGGCACTGTGGCTGGCTGCATGCCGCGTGTGACCTTGAGACCCTTTCCTGCCCTGGAAAACGTCCCACTGTGCTTTCTGGCTGTCCCCCTACCCCGCACCGTGGATTCTTATGCTGTGCGTGACTCCGATATACAATTGTGTGTTTTTCTTGTGCTGGAATATATTGTGGGTTTCATTGTCCTTGACATCCTGCTGATGTGAACAATATCATTGGTTTCTTGCTTTGACATGTTTGGAGATAAATAAAAGGCTTTTGTGGCTGCTAATTGTGTGACATTAAAACACAGCACCTAGAAGCACCCTGGTGGCTTCTGCACAATCGTACGTGACCCTGAAATTCTGTTTGGTGAGAGGCATAAACCTCCCCATTGCCGCTGTGCCTGTCTTTTCTAGGGTGGTGCCTTTTAGCCAGACTACAAAACTCCCCCATGTAGGCTCTGAAAACACCAGTTCCTGGGCCACCGTCACGCTCCGTTATTTTAGTCGAGGCACCAAATAATAGGTCTTGTCCATTGCCACTCAGAGAGCAAACGTGGACAACAGGGAGTCGGAGTCTTTGAAAATTATACTAATAGCTTTAGGAATTATGATGTCCTTTTTCTACATAAACAAGATAAAAATAACTTATTTTTCACCCTTTGATAACAGCTCTCGCATTGTGTCCATTATTCTCTCAATGAACCTGTAAAGCAGGCGGGTCATTTTACAGATGAAGCAACTCAGTCCCGGGGGCTTCCGCAGCTGCCCCAGAATGCCCACCCAGGTAGGGTTGCCGTCCCTCCGTGTCCTGTTGCTGGTGTCTTTTTGCACCAATATGTGTCTGCCAACAGGTTTCCATGATGCAGCCTGATCCCACTCTCCTTCCTCTATACGTTTTGGCTTGGAGAGCACTTCCCAATGCAAAGCACCCCCAAGAACCTCCTGGGAAGTAGTTCAAGGGCAGAATCCAATTCAGCAGGTCTGGAGTGGAGGCTAAGACTCTGCATTTCTGACTGTGAATCTCCCAAGGGGCATGGCTGCTGTTGGGCAGCTCCTTCTAGATAGAGAGGGGATAGAGGACCTTCAAATGAGCCTAAACTTGAAGCCCAAAGCTCTCCCCTACGCCTGCGTCTGCTTGGAGAGCTGCCCCCAGGCCAGGAACTGTGCCAACTACTAACAGGTGTTTGATTCTTTGAGCCTTGCATTAACCCTATGAGGTAGACATTAATATCACCCTTATCTTCAAGACAAGACATCTGTGACTCAGAGAGGTTAAAGCCCTTGTCTATGAAAACTCAGCACCAAGTGGAGAAGCAGAGACTCGAACTCAAGCTGTTTAAAGCACACTCCCAAGTCCAGCCCTGATACCCTCGCACGTCTCTCGGACACAGTCCGGACAGTGGGGCCATGACCCAATGACATCGGAGGTATGGACTGCTGTGCGGGGAGACTTTGGGGCGTAATTCTACAGCTCATGGGTCCCGATGTTCCTAGCCTGGTTTCCATAGAGACACTATAAAAACCGAGAAACACAATCCATCATCTGACTTGCTAATATCCTTTCCCAAAGTCAGAGGTAGTAGCCCTGGGAAGGCATCCATCTCTGGGCCGGCACTGCCCCCTCCCTGGCCACTTTCCACACAGCGTTTGAAGCAGCAGGATGGTGAGTTCGAAAATGTTTCATTTTGGGGAATGAAAGCACATGATGATTTTAATTTACGTGTTAGGTTGCATTCACTTTCCACCCCTTTTCCCAAGGCAGAGTAACTGCAGCGTTGACTCCCTGGGTCTCTAGAAATCTCTGCCTATTGTCCTTATTCAAATTGAACTTCTGAGCTCAATTTCTGTCCAACAGGGAGGGGCTCAAGCCTTCAGGTTCAGCTCCACTGAAATCCATTCTCCACACAGTAGCCTGCTGACAATTGCTTGTTTGGTTTTTCATTTAAATTATTTTATTGTTGTTACTAAATTGCTTAAATAATTTATTGTTGTTAAATTATTTTATTGTAAATTATTTTATTATTTTATTGTTGTTTTTCAAAATAAATTATTTTATTGTTGTGATAATTACAGTTATCTGTGTTTTCTCCCACCCCCTCCAAACCCACCTCCCTCCCTTGCTTCCACCCTCCCCCTTGGTTTTGTCCGTGTGTCCTTTATAGTTGTTCCTGAAAACCCTTCTCCCCACTGTCCCCTCCCCCCTCCCCTCTGACCACTGTTAGATTGTTCTAAATTTCAAGGGCTCTCGTTGTATTTTGTTTGCTTTTTTCTTTTGTTGATTATGTTCCAGTTAAAGGTAGGTGAGGCATTGGTCCCTCACCGCCTGGCTTATTTCACTCAGCATATCCATAAAGCAGATCATATCATATTCTTCAAAACTCTTCCTTGGCTTTGAATAAGGTGTCACTTCCTTACCCGGCCCCAATGATCTGAGCTTCTCTGGGAGATTCTCAACACACGCCCCCTTGCCCGCCCATCCTCCTTCCCCACCACAGGACTCAAAGCCCCCACACTCACTCCCTTGCACACCTGCCGTGTCCTCTACCTGAAGGCCCATCCCCATATCTTCCCACGATACCTTCTTCCCCTTCAAGCTCCAGCCCAATCCTCAGAGATGCCTTCCCTGACCGCTCTTTCTAAAGAGCACCCAGTCCTCACACAAAGTACTGTCTCATCACAAATCTTTTTGCTCTTTTATTTTTCATTAATTTGTTTAATTATCATCAGTCTTCTCCCACTAGAGGAGAGTACCTACCGTGTCAAACTGGTCAGTAAAAAAATATATACATATGCATTCACTGGATAAGCGATTCCATTAACACACTAGCATATGAGTTCAAGTCTAACCAAGGAGAATACGGCACCGGGCAGAAGCGGGGTTGCAGGCGTGAGTACACAGAACACAGTTCATTCCTGTGTTGTCATGTATTAATGACTGTACTGTTCTCCACACCAGCAACTCGAAACCTGCTTTGCCTCGCCCTGTATAAGACACCAGTGGTCCTCCCATGGGGTGCGTATCGGCACCAGAGGTGGAGTTTGGGAGAAACAGCCTAGGCTCTGAAACCCACGATCCAGTCCATCAGAGGTGACAGCAGCATCGGAAACTGTCAAGCACCACGGGGACTGTGACGCAACACTTGAAGGACCACCTCAACCACAGAGCATCGCTCACTTCCGAAGGAAAAAGACCCACACTCCCGAAGCTCAGCTTCCTGTGCTGTCACCATTGCCTGTCAGGACACCCAGGGCCTGCCGTGAATGCTGGGCCAGAGAGACAACAGAAATCTGGAAGCTGGGAGGAGCCAGATGACGAAATGCAGAACAAAAGCAAAACTTGCCACCAAAGAACCTGACCTTATGTCCCAGCTGGTGTGGCTCAGTCAGTTGAGCACCAGCCTGTGAACCAAAGCATCACCAGTTGGATTCCCAGTCAGGGCACGTCCCTGGGTTGTAGGCCAGGTCCCCAGTAGGGGGCGCACAAGAGGCAACCGCACATGATGCTTCTCTCCCTCTCTTCCTCCCTTCCCCTTTCTCTAAAAATAAATAAATAAATAAAATATTTTTAAGAAAGAAAGAACTCAACCCTCCTTGTCTACAAACACTTGGGAACCAAATCCGTAAAAATAAATGATAATAAAAGACATTACACAGTGTTATGTGCCAGACATTCTGCTAGGGACTCAGATGGGTTAATCAACTCACTGAATTCTCACTCACACCCATGGGGCAGGCACTCCTGACGTCTTGTCTTAGGGAGAAGGAAACTGGGGCGGGCGGGAGGCTGGTCGTCTTGACCAGGCTCCTCGGGGGTGAGACGCAGTGCAGAGCTTCGTCTACAGGGGGCTCCACAGGCCCCGGTTGTCCACAGAGCTGTCCCACTGAGGTGCAGGGCCACAGCCTACAGCAACGTCCCCAGCCTTGAATGACCTCCAGCAAAGCTCCCGGCCCCCAGACTTCCCAACAGGAAATTTGCCACATTCTTTCATTTTCCTGTTAACGTCTCTCTCTGTTCTCCCAGGCGGCCAGCTGACTGGACACAGCAAGGCAGACAGGACACTACCTGCCCTGGGTGTTCTTTAGAAAGAGTGGCCAGGGAGGGCATCTCTGAGGATGGGGCTGCAGCTTAAAGGATGAGAAG